TAAAGAAATACAGGTTAATAGCTAGTCATCTATAACAATCAAACTTATTGTCATGTTAGGTATGTTTTTATGGTCATACAAAGATATATTTTAAGTAGATAGATGGCCTTCAAATACTTCAAAGACCTTCAGAATATGGCATTGAAAATGTTTTGTTAATATAGGGCTTTTCATGACAGACACACACATCTGCTCCTGGCAGCATCAATCTACTTCATAAAAGGATGATGGGCATGGAAGAACCTCCATATGGAGTTTGCTTTCTTTGTAACAAAAGCTAGCCATTTGGGAAAGAAACTGCCCTTGCCTCAATTGAGGACAATATGATGTACAAACTGGACAAGTAGGACTTGAAGGAATACAGACTACCGAACTTTGCCAAGACAAGGTAGGAGAGTGATTCAAACCTCCTGCTTCACAGAAAAGTCTGCCAGATATTCTAGGCCTGTGGACCAAAGACGATGTCCCAGTGTTACAGTGGAACATTGGGTGACTGCCCAGGCAGCCAGATGTCTCTGTTGTTTCTTAGTTTTGGAAGTTGCTTGCTCTGTACCTCCTGTATGCTCAGGTAATAGTATATCTTTCTCAGGTCTCTGATGAAATTAAAGATTAGATAGTTACAGTTACAATTTCCTTTAACCATGATAAAAAGTAAATTAGGTACAAAACTCATCAAGAGAGGATAGATAATGGAGTATTTTTTTCTAAATTTGCCAAATACAAATGGACTGGGCATTGATCTTATTGTATATAGTTTTACTATGTTAGAGTTAAAACTTCTCCTTTTTATTTCGACAAAAGGGGAAAATGTTATGGAATAATGTTTTTATACACTGTGAAGAAGTCTCACTCTGATTGGTTTAATAAAAAAACAAATGGCCAATAGCTAGGCAAGCTTTCCAGGTATAGAAAACACTGGGAAGAAAGGTAGAGATGAGAGACACAGAGGAAGCAGAAAAGTAGGGTGGACAGTACACAGATGTGGTAAACAAGCCTCAGAACAGTATATAGATTAATAGAAATGGGTTAACTTAAATTATAAAAGCTAGCTAAAAACAAGCTTAAGCAATCGGCCAAGCTTTTATAATTAATGATTAGTCTCCATGTAGTGATTTGGGAGCTGGCTAACGGGACAGAGAAAAACTCTCTACAGTATGTAGAGGCCAGAGACAGATAGATGGTGGGTATCTTGTTCTGCTGCTTTCTACTTTACTTTTTGAAATAGAACCTCTCACTGAACATAGAGCTCACTGGCTCAGTAAGGTCACTTGGCCAGTGAGCCTAAGGGTCCTCTTGACTCTGCCTCCACAGCTCCTCAGCACCCCCAGCTTTTTACCAGTGTGCTGAGGATCTGAACTCAGGTCCTCATGCCTGTGTGGCTAACACTTTACCCATCTCCCTAGACTCTGCAGATGAGTATTGAGATAGTTGTTAATTTTTTCTTGTCTCGAACAGAACATAATAATCATTCTCCTAGCAATCTCTCTGGGTAGGGGCACACCTGTAGTTACAGGGTAAACCAGTGGTTCTCAACTGTGGGTCATGACCCTTTTAAGAGTCACATAACAGCTATCCTACATATCAAGTATTTACATTACAAGTTATAACAGCACAAAATTATAGTTATGAAGTTGCAATGAAATAATTTTATGGTTGAGGTCACCATTAACATGAAGAATAGTATTAGGAAGGTTGAGAACCACTGAGATAGACTGAACTTTTGGGTTAAAGTTGCCATGCAGCAGGCTGTCCTTTTTCAAGATGGCAGTGTTGTCTCTCACATGAAGTATACTCTTGGTATAATGTGTACTTACCCATCATGATGAGCTTCCTCCCTCAACCCTATGAAATGGTGTCTTAAGTTATTTTTCTATTGCTATGATAACACACCATGAGTAAAGCAACTTACAGAAGAAGAGCTTATTTGTGGCTTACACTTCAGAGGGTGAGTCCATGATCATCACAGCAAGGAGCATGGCAGCAGCAGGCACACATAGCACTGGAACAGTAGCTGCGATCTTACATCCTGATCCACAAGCATGGGGCAGAGGGGAAGTTACCTGGGAATGGTGAGGGCTTTTGGAACTGCAAAGCCTGTCTCCAGTGACACACTTCCTCCAACAAAGACCATGCCTCCCAGTCCTTCTCAAACAGTTTTACCAGCTGGGAACAAGTACCAGATATATGAGCCTATGGGGGCCATTCTCATTCAAACCACCACAAGAGGCTCAGGAGTGCAAGAGCCAGTAGAATTTAATGGAAGCTGTGGTGGTCTGAATGAGAATGGCCCCATAGGCTCATATGTTTGAATATTTGGTTCCTGATGTGGAATAATCTTTTTGTACAATGTGAAGATGTGTCTTTGCCAACGCTCCTTCTGATCAGTTTAATAAAGAGCTGAGTGATCAATTGCTAGACAGGAAGAGGTTAGGCTGGACTTTGGGACAGAGAAAAAAGAGGAGACAAATCTAGGCGTGAAAGAGACACCAGAGGACGCAGAAACAGGAGGTCCAAGGTGGAAGAGAGGTAAAAAAACATAAGGTAAAACATAAGATTACTATAAATGGGTTAGGTTAAATTATAAGAGCTAGTGGGACAAGCCTAAGCTATAGGCCAAGCTTTCATGATTAGTAAGTCTCTATGTGATTTTTTTGTGAGCTGGTGGCCCAAATAAAAATTCATCTATAAGTTTCCAGTTGGTAGACTGTTTAAGAAGAATTAGGAGGTGTGGCCTTGCTAGGAGGTGTGTTACTGAGAATGGGCTTCAAGGTTTCAAACTAGACAGAACTAGACTCTCTCTCTCTGTTTCCATCTTGTGAATCAGATATTAAGATCTCAGCTACCGCTCCAGCGCCATGCCGGCCTGCTGCTCTCAGTCATGCTCTTCAGCATGAGGGCCACAGACTAACATCCGTTCATCCCAGATAGAGAGGGCACCAACAGACAGCTTGGCAAACCTGTGCATTTACTGGGGTTCCTTACAGTACTGTGCCCCACAGCATGAGCAACTCTGGAAAAGTCCCCAACCACAAACAATCTTCTACCCCTTAAAAGCCCTTAACACTACCATCTGCCCACTCCCAAACACATACACCTAGGAATCTCAGATTAGGGCCTTGTGACCCTCTTGCCTCCCCACACAACATCTTCATTAGCACAGACCAAGTTTTCTGTTGTACTGTTCTCCTTAGTTCAGGGCTGTGATCACAGGTCAAGGTCTTCTGAAGGTCAGTAAGCTTTACTCTGTGCCTCATGATGGTGGCAGAAGGAACTAGTTATACTGCAAGTTCAAACTCTTCCATAACTTCCCTTAACCTAAAACAAAGACTGTCTATCCACCATGGGATGAAAAAGCTTACATAGAGAAGCATCCCCACCTTTGCAGAGAGGGTAGTCCAGGCCAGAGCTAAGACTGTTGGGCACTATATTGTGCTTTGTCACAACTGTAGCACTGACATTATGGGACAGAAACAGACTGAGCCATGGCAGTTACAGGGATTAATGGTTCTAGAGAACCCTGAGGATGAACCATCCTGCTCGGTTGGCTTTGGATCTCACCTCCCACTTCTCTGAAAACACGACAAAGGTAAATATCAGCTCTACCCCTCCTCAGGAATTAAATTAACCAATGAAAAAGGAGAAGTACTCTGGCTTTACTAAGACTCATTAAGAGACAGTTCTTTTCTCTGAATGAAAAGACCAGAAGTTCTAACTCTAGCCCTGGATGGAGATTTGACATTCTAAGTTAGCCAGAACTTTACATATTCTGTGTCCTTCCTTTAAAAGTTAATCCAGGGGCTGCAGCAATGGCTCAGTGGCTAAGGGTGCTGGCTGCTCTTCCACAGGATCCAGGTTCAATTCCCAGCACCCACTCAGTGTCTTGCAACCATCTCTAACTCCAGTTCTGGGTCATCTGACAACCTCTTCTGGCCTCCATGGGCACCTGGCACACATGGTGCACAGACACATATGCAGGCAGAACATCCATACACATAAAATAAAAAAAATAAAATAATTTTAAAAAATTTTAAAGAATTAATCAAGCTCGGCCTGTCAATTACCTGCCCAGGGGTTTGCTTCTACCTGCTCCCCCACCCCTATGCCCCACAAAACTCTGATTCATCTGAAGATGTGCTAAGGAGAAGGAGGACTAATTATCTCTTAAAGAAATGATGTATTCATCCTTCTTAGAAGCCTTTGGGCAGTGCCTTGTAGGCTTCCATCATGTAGCCTTAGGAGAGCTTGCCCGATTTTCAGGTACCCAGGAAACTGTGAGTTTTCCTTTTTATTCTTTTCTTTTTGTTCAGATATTGGACAAAATCCCAAGCATACTTTCCTTGGCACTCTGGGGTTTCTCATGAATTCTCTGAAGCTGCGTCCCCGACCACACGTTTTTGCCTACTATGAAGTATGACCTCCACTACTGAAGCTGCCTCTTCCATGGATCCTAACTCGAACACATGGCTTTCTTTCTCTTTTCCATCTCCCTCCTCCTGGCAGCTGCTGAGATTTACTGCCCTGTATTCTCAGACTCTAATAACATTTCCTTCCAAGTACATTTATAAATTCTTTTACTGATGAAATTAAGAACCCAATAGAGGGGACCAAATTCCCTGGCAACAGAAGGTATTTTAAATTATAGTGAGCGGCCCTCATGCCTTTTTTTGGCTAACAAAATGGGATAGACATTTCACGGGGAGGATTAACCCCTTTTTTCTATTAAAAAAGAAAGGCATCTGAGAGGTTTTGTGAGATTGTGGTTGCAGGACAGCATCTGCTCTGGACCTGGAAGAATTCTTTGTCCCTAGGTCTACTCCTTTGGTAAGCATAGGGTGGGAGGCTTCTGCATCTTTTCCTTGAAGAGCAGCTTCAAGCTGGCTTTTGCATACCTCTGTTAAGTGCTAATTTTGCAAGTAAGAAAAGCAGCAGGCGCTAAGAATGGAAACAGATCCACACCATTGAGCCAGAAAGCAATTTATGCAAAGACAAGCTTCACTTACTGTCCCTCGAAGAGCCAGCAAATCCACAGCCATTTCCTTTCTTAGTTTTCCTGCCAAAGGACAGCCCAGTGCTGACAAAGTATGCCTGGAAAGGGAAAAGGGTGCAGTAAGGAATTCTGGTTCCAAGGGAGGTCTGGAGAAGAGGCTCGGTGGTTAAGGGCACTTCCTGCTCTTTGCAGAAAAACCCGAGTTTGACTATCAGCACCCACAACCCCAGTTCCAGGGGATCCAACATGCTCTTCTGGCCTCCTCAGGTTCTGTGCTTATGGACACATACACATATACAGACACAAACATATACATATAAATATAGTTTAATTTTTAAAACCCACTCATAGTGGTCATGAGATCCCAAGAAAGCTATCCCCTATAAACAACGAAAACCAAATGATAAGACTGCTGACCAAACAATCTGTCAGAACTCCGTCCCTTCTGTATTTTCACCACACTTCTAACTTGTCCCTCCACACCTACCTACAGGCCTGTTAGCGCCTAGTACAAAAACTGGCAACGTCAAAAGGTTGGATATGCCTGATTTAAAGTACAATGGATGATGTGCCCAAGTTCTCTGCAAATGCAATGTCAGTCTACCTAAAGGACTTGAGCTTTGCCTGTTTGGGAATTCCTGGAACCAGTCCTCTGTGCAGCAGAGGTGGGGTTGTGCTGTCGACGTGGCTGAGGTGGATAGCCAAGGGAAGGGGTTCAGACTGCTCAAAGTGTCGAGACACTGAAAGGCGCACAGATGGGATGGGAATTCTGCTTCCAGCCCAAGTTTCCAGACAAGACTAAGCGAATGCCCGAGCCACACTGTGTGTTGGTTTATTCATCTCCACGGTGGGCACAATGGGGCCTGTAACTTAGTATCAGAAGCGCTAATTCATCAAGTTAGCCTAGACTGCTAGGTATCGGCTGTTGCTTTTATGACCTGCATCACTAAGATGCAACAGAAGATGCATAGGCCCCGGGCTCGCAGACTGGGCCCTGCCGCTCTCCGCGCTCTCTGCGGGCCGAGCCTGACGGTGGGTCCCCAATCCAGAGGCCGCAAAGCAGACGCCAGGCCGCGCCAGGCCCGCAGCGAAGCCCACCGCCCGCTACGCCCCGCCTGCACCGTCGATCCCACTCACCGACGCCGGCGCTCGCTCCAGCCGTCCTCAACACGAACGTTCTCGAGGATGTCTTCCCCACACGCACCCTCCTGGAACAGTCAGGATCACCTTGGCCAGGAGCCCCCGCAGATGAGCCGCGAGCTGCCCCGCCACCAGGAGAAGCCCCAAAGAACTACCATCCCCGGCATGCCTCGGGACCTCTCTGACTACATTTCCCAGTAGGCACCGGGGCCAAGCGATTTCCAAAAACTCAGTGGAGCTGTGTTGGTGTCAGCCGGGTGTTCAGGTTATTGTAGTCTAGGGCTGGGGTAATGCACTACAAATCCAGGAAACCCTGCAAACCCGGCCAGGCTCTCTCAATCAGATCCCAGATTTGTTCGCTAGGCGGGCGAAGTGATGTGACAAGACAAAACCAGAATTTAGTTTCTAGGAATGGAGCCACCTACCCCCTACACCCATAAGTACCAGGCTAGCCTGACTCATGGTGTTGCAGGACAACCAGGCTGCATAAAAAGACTTATGTCTAAAAACAGACAAAAAGCCCTGGGAGAATCTGTGTAGCCTACACCACTAATCGTGATAATTTAAAATTTTTTTTAACGCAAATGATAAACAGAAAGCAATGCACATAGGTATTAGGTTTTTTGCTTGTTTTATTTTGTGACAAATGGCCATGGAATTCAGCCCAGGATGGTTTCAGAAGCAAAAGGATTAAAAAATAATAATAATAAAAGTAATTGATTGAATACACATACTTAGTCTTTTATTTATTTATTTAAATCCAGCTAGCTGCTGAATCCTAAGATCAATTGCCATTTGGTTGGTGTAGAGGCTAAGAGACATGATCCAGCCCCTACCCAGGGTCCCAAAGTTGAAATGTTTCTCACTAGCGAAGGAGGGGCAAAAGATTTCTATAGTAACCTCACACACGGTCTAAGGGTCATGCTTTTTTATTTTCTGAGCTCTTTATTGTTGTGTTTCTACTCTAACAACCCTGTCCTACTTCTAGCTTCTCTATGCTTCTTTTTCTTCTTCTATTCTAAAAACTCTTCTTCAGGAGCCTTGAAGTGGTAAAGAAGTTTCTCTCATTGGTCAAAAGCACATTCCTATGGGAAGTGATAAGGAGCTGAGCCGTTTACCATGGCAACATAAGGGTCCAAGCCAGAGGAGCAAAACCACGACCAAACATGGGGAAGGGTACAGTGGACAAGCAAGTGAAGAATTAACATGCTTTTCTGATATTGAGATTTAATCAATATTTATACCTACAATCTATATTTATAATAATCAATAGCTATAATCAATAATGTGTATCTATAACTAATAATCAATTAGTAATCTATATTTATGCCAAATTGAGAACTATTCTAAATACCTTGTAGATGTAATTGTAAATAATTTTATAATGTCTGGGAGGAGTCATCCAATATACCAATACATAGGGGAAAATGTGCCCAGTAATTTATTAATACACTGCTGGAGTTTGGGGTATGAATCCCACCATAGAGAGTGCCATCGCTTCACAGGGAATTTATAGTAAGGACAGTAACTATTCATATAAAGCAAATACTCCCACTGTCCTGCATGTGGGCCTCCTCCATCGGAAAATGGTCCATGTGGGTTAGCTCCATGATTTGTCAGCTGTGTTCTTACTGTATAATTCTGTGGTTGAACAGGTGGTAATGGACCTTCAGAGAGCCTGCTCACCTTATCCTCTGGTTTAAAAAAACACACGCATAGTGCTAACTCTCTCAAGTATCTTTCTGATTTGGAAAATCACCTTGAAAAACAACAAAACTAGCAGTGACATGTTTAAATACCTCCCCCATGCATGGCTGAAGTGAGATATTCTTAAGAAGCCATAGACTGTTGAGTGAAAATCCCAATTCCAGGCATTTATTGCCTCTCTCGGTATTATTGGCCGTAGAGACCCTTATGACCTCATAACCTACAAACTTTATTGTCTCTACGGCTCTTTGCATCCCAGAACTAAGTGGAAGTCCCTGTTGCTGAAGTTGTCACATACTTGAGTTGAAGGACATGGAGAAATCAGGCTTGGTTATGGCTGGAAGATCCCACCCCCATGCTAGCTCACTTTCATAGCGCTGGAAAGCACTATGAAAGGCTGCTGGGGGAGGGTTCATACCAATAGTTCAGCTATGGACATAGTGTGCTGATGCCATGGTGTGCCAGGAAAGATAAGCTCATTGGTAGAACAGTGGTACAACTAATATGGGTGCAGCCAGTATTTGCCATTTTCATGTAAAGCCTGCTTCATAGGAGAAAACTCATATTTTCCAGGACAAAACCTGGTCCCCAATGGGGAGGCTACTGCTATTATGTTGTTTAATAGTTATTACATGTCTTCAAAACATTTTTGATTATGGACATAGATTACCACTGCTGTTAACACTGGTTGTAGTAGAACACTTTTTTTTAGTATGTGTATGTGTGTGTGCACATGTGAGTAGAGATGTCCATGGAAACTGGAAGCCTTGGATTCCCCCCCCCCCTCCAGAGCTGAAGTTACCAGAAGTTATAAATCACCCAGCATTTGTGCTGGGAATAGAACCTGGGTCTTCTGCAAGAGTAGTACAGTCTCTTAACCATGGGATTGTAACGTCTCCTAACCTGAGAAACACCTCTCCTCAGTGAGGGGATAGTTGCTGTGTTGTCACAAAAGGTCATGGTACTGAGAATAAGGACTGTTGCTGTAGCATACACACGATGTTCAGCCATCAATGGAAGAAAATAACCAGACATCTATATTACTCCAAGACAGGGAACTTTGCAGAAGAGGCAGAATGGGGCAGGGGTGGGGGTGGGGGAGTGTTATATGCTTTGGATTTACTTTGAGTGGAAACAGGAGAAAGGAGGCTCACAAGATTCAGGGTGCTCTGAAAACCTCTCACAGGCTTAAGAAGCTGACTCCAGGAGTTTAGGTAAGTAGAGCACAATTGCTACAGGGAGCACAGGGAAGCAGGCACAGCCAGGGACCGCAAGTTGTACTCTCTGTGGCTACATTGTGACATAATTCCTCCTTTCTAACTAACTGTGTGTATACGTAAATTACATTTCAAAAACATTTGTCTGAAGAGCTTTTACTTCGCAATTTAACACAGCCAAGGTAAATACTTTCTGAGAAAAACAAGTGGGGGACACCATGCAGCTTGTGCCTTTAGGTCTGAACCAGAGGTGATAAATGAGGGGGAAACAGTGCAAAGGACAATACGCCTGCATAGCTCACAAAGCGACTTTCTTCTCTGGTCAGTGACTTAAGAGAAAGGAGAAATGAACCAAAGGTTTTAACAATAAACAAGAACTTGTTTCCAGAGTATCAAAGAACAAACTTTAGTGACCATGAGGTAGCTACAAGTTACCTATGCAGATTACTTTTCTCATTCTTCTGAAATGAGAAAAGATTTATTAATTAATAATGAAAGGCATTGTCCAACATATATCCTAGGCTCATCTGAAGTCTGGTGATTCATGGCTCAGCTTTTCCCTAAATCAGCAGGTCCCCTATGACGTTACAAAACCTGGTGGCTGTTAAGTCTGAATCACTAGAAAGAAAATATTAATCCTTCAATCTTAGAGTCAACTCTATAAGACAATAAAACTTAAGAACACGTGAAAAACATGTTATATATGTTTTCCAAACACTTGCAAGTTTATACTGCATCACAAATGCCTGATGTTTGCTGAAGTCTAACTTGATGCTCGCCCCCAACTATCACTCATCACTTTCTCTCCAGGACGAATTCTGTTACAGTCGGTATGAAATGAATGTCTTTTGCCAGGTTTACCACATGCATTTTGCTTACATGGTTTTTCTCAGTCATGAGTCTTCTGATGGTTGGCAAGAGATGAACTCTGACTGAAGGCTTTCCCACATGCTTTGCATTTATAAGGCTTTTCTCCTGTATGAATTCTCATATGTGTCATAAGTGATGAACTCTGCCTGAAGGCTTTCCCACATACTTTACAGTTAAACGGTTTCTCTCCAGTATGAATTCTCTGGTGTTGAATAAGGGCTGAGCTTTGGTTGAAGGCCTTTTCACAGTCACTGCACTTATAAGGTTTCTCACCAGTATGAATTTTTCGGTGAGTATTGACTGCTGAGTGAGAACTGAAAGCTTTCCCACATTCCTTACAATGATATGGTTTCTCACCCGTGTGGATTCGGTGATGGATATTAAGTCGTGAGATCCAGGAAAAGGCCTTTCCACATTCATCACACCTGTATGGCTTTTCTCCAGTGTGGATTCTTTGATGTTGGATAAGGGCTGAGCTTTGGCTGAAGGCTTTCCCACATTCCTTGCACGCATATGGTTTCTCTCCAGTGTGAATTCTCTGGTGTATAATCAAGGCTGAGTGGTAACTGAACACTTTGCCACACATATTACAATGGAAGGGCTTCTCTCCCGTATGGATACGGTGGTGTCTGCTTAGTCGTGATATTGATGTAAAGGCTTTCCCACACTGGCTACACTCATATGGTTTCTCCCCGGTATGAATTCTATGATGCTGGATAAGAGATGAGCACTGACTAAAGGCTCTCCCGCACTCATTGCACTTATAAGGCTTTTCTCCAGTGTGGATCCGTTGGTGATTATTGAGGGATGAGCTGCCTTTGAAGGTTTTGCCACATTCCTTACATTTATAGGGTCTCTCTCCAGTGTGCATCCTCTGATGCCCAATGAGAGAGGTAGTGAAGCTGAAAGCCTTCCCACACTCAGCACACATGTACGGTTTTTCTCCAGTATGGACTCTCAGGTGCTGTGTTAGGGACGAGCTTTGGCTGAAAGCCTTCCGACATTCCTTACATTTGTAGAGCTTCTCTCCAGTGTGGATCCTCTGGTGTTTGCTCAGAGAAGAACTGTGGAGAAAGACTTTCCCACAGATGTTACATCTGTAACACTTGCGCATTGTGTTGACTCCCGGTGGCTTAAATAGAACTGAGCACTGCTGTGAGCAGGGCTTTCTTCCTCTGGAGACAACTCCAGGCCTTCTAGCAAATGGAGACTTTATAGCAGGATTTCTCATGAGTTCAATGCCTGTAAGGCCCCTCTCTTGCATATAGTCTTTTCTAATGGAAAGCAGCATTTTGCTGAAAAGT